GGCATTCTGGCCAGTGCAGGCAATGCAGAAGTGCTGCTGCGCTATCGCTTGATGCTGCGCTGCTGCCAAGGCGCTGACAGGGCGCGTAGTGGTGAAGTGGGGCGCTGCAGGGCAGCGGGGCGCAGGCGGCCATAGCCGGGCTGCTGGGCGCCAGGGGGTACAGCGGGTGATCTGGTGGTCTTCAGGGAAGGAGGCGAGTGTGGGGCAATCAAGGTCTGATTGAGGGTGACGAGATACGTACCTGGTGCATGAAGAAAGGTCGGCTATGAAGTTGACAGTCATGTACATTGGTCTTCGAGAGTCGAAGTGAGGCTGTTGCGTGAACCAGCTGTAGGTAGGATAGTCGGGCAGAGTAGGTTGGGCGCTGGGCGCCAGACAAAGAGGAGCGACTTTGGATACTGTGTTGGTGTGGCCTACGGGCTTGAACATTGGCTCATTACTTCATTGCATTGCTCTATATGGATGGTTTCTCGGTGCATTTTGTACTCTCTGCTTGGATATGACTACCTGGACATCTCTGTGATTTCGCAACATTGGTTTTCTATATATCGTTCACACTCATATTCCTTGCAATTTGGTATCGGAGCTGGTTGGTGACCGCCGCTTACCTGGCACCGACGACATTGTTACTTGGTGCGCTGACGATGCTTCATGTGCAGTAACGATACTTTGGTGCTGGTATGTGATAGCGGGGCCTAGGTGGAGAGGCCGACCGCTGGAAGGCTGTGGCGACAGCGTGGGAGCTATGGCGACAGCGAATGAATGCATGATGATGAGAGTATGCTGACGTGGCATTTTGGCTGAGGTGGCACGCGTTGTGGGTGGTACCGAGGCTATTGACCGGTCATCGAAATGCACGTCGGCCCAATTGGTGAGAAATCTGTGGGTGGGGGCAGCTATCTCCAGGTACGTTGTTCCCATTCCTTATCTACCATCTCAATCTCTTCTTACCGTGAGGAAGTGAGTCCAACTTGAGTGTCCTCTCTTTGGTGAGGAGTTGTGTGCGCTCTACCTTGAGAGATGACATTCTTCCCGGTGGCGCATCTGGCAGGAGAGGGTGGTGCCTCTGAAGGGCCCTGTTCGAAGCACGGGTCACGGTCACCATACCAACCCATGGGTAGTAGTACACGCAGGCCATGCTGCTTTGTCCATTAAGGCTCTTTGCTGCGCTGATAGAAGGGGTGTGCGGACTGACCAGCCCTACGAAGACGCTCCCAGACCGTCTATAAACGGGTCTGAGCTGTCCACTGGCTGTGATCGTCGTCCTGATTGCGACGTTAAAGAATTCTTGAGGACTCTTGGGGGTTGTCCTTAAATTGCCTCTTGATCAGATCAGTCAGACGTAAGGCTCGTTGCACGCGAGGGTAAACAAAGGGCAGGCTGGTCATAAGCATACTTCTTGGGCACAGGGGTGGGCCGTGGTTGCACACCTTAGACACCGCAGCTTGATGATGCTCACAGGTACGTTGGATACAGGGGAAGGGGATTCCAATTGAGAACTCAACTGTACATCACTATCTTATCCATTGTGCATACATCTGCTCATTGTAGGTTATTTTTATCTTGATTAGTTGGTGGACAGACTGCTGACACCTAACAGACAGCCTAGAGTAGGACTGCAATCTACCATAGTTAGTTCTTCTTAAAGCTTATGTGCAGAACTAATCAAAGATAGAGGTGAACTACATGTGTACAGTTTGTGTAGGTGTTGTTGATGTTGCTTGACTAGTAGTCCAGGTAACTCGCTGGACATCGACTATTTTATTTATTTTTAGAACCGGTCAGACGTATGCTGCGGTAGGTCCCAAAGAGGACATCAGACAGTGTCTGCCTAGCCCATGAGTGGATCAGAGGGTGGGGAGGATAGATCTGACGATAGGAGGCAGACACAACGGGATACCGGTAGGATACCCATTGTGTTCCAGGTTCTACTACCAGGAGATGAGAGAAGGCTAAGGGTCGAAGCAAGGGTCCGCAATCTAGAGACTGCGAAAGAGGCAGCAGCGGCAGTTGAACGAGCGTTGGCAGCAGCAGCAGCTGGCGCGGTAGCAATGGCTACCTCATCAGCCACCTCTGCTGAAAACTCTACTGGTCAGAGTTTGGGTATGCCACTCAACGCGACCAGTTCACAGTCCATCTCCAGTACGTCAGGAGCTGGCACTAGTCAGATGGCGGGTTCGCAGTTCAGCTTGCCGCCTCCACGCACCCGAGAGCAGATGGAGCTCTGGCGGGTGGAAAGGGATCGCTTGAGGCTAGAGGAGGAACTCAAACAGGCTACTAAAAGAGAGAAAGAGATTAGAGAAAGGAGTGTCAGACTAGAGGGTAGGGAGGCAGACAAGGCTGCACTAGAGGGGTTAGATGACTCGACCCTTAGCAATAATGAAAATATTTTTAAGGGGCAGATCATGGATAGTAAACTGGATACAATCCAGGACACCTTCGGCCAGATCTTGAATGCCATGCACAGGCAAGGAATCAGGCCAGCAGTCTTGCCATCGCTGCCATTCTCAACGATGACAGGCCCCTATGCCGCTCAGTCCGAACCATCACCAAGCGGTACATCAGCAGCAACTCTATCTCAGACTGTTGCTTCTTCATCTTCTGGTCCAGCGACTGGAGCTACACCACAGTCACCACCTGTCCCGCCACCGGGACAATAATTACCTTGGTACCCCAAGACCCCCCTGAAACCACCTCCAACCTTCTCAGGAGACAAGAAGGATGAGGCTCTCAACACGTGGTTGAGAACGGTGTCGGTGTGGGTGAGGGCAAAGAGGACATTGGTAGAGGAGGAAGTGATTATTGTTGCATCCTACTTAGAGGGTTCAGCAGCTCGCTGGCTAAATGGATTGGTAGCTTCAAAGGGGTTCGGCAGGAACATGGGTGATTGGGCGTAGACCCACACCTTGGATTTTTTTATGGATTTAGTGGAAGTACGATGGCACAACCCTCAGCAGGCACAGATTGCCACTGATGGGCTATTAAAGCTTGATGCTAGGAAGTACAAGTCAGTGCGAGAGCTTACCACGACCGTAGAGCGCCTGTGTTACAGACTCCGCCAGGGCTCGATCCGTGGTCTATCTTTTTGTTGTTTCTGCTGCACCCCGTTTTCGGCTTGGCACCCTTTTTCCCAAACCCCTCCTTTGGTACCGTCGGATTTTGGACAACTAGCGCCATGCTGCGATTCGGGCGCCACTTTCAAATACTGAATTTTTCAGTTCTGCCCTCAGGGCTTTTGCGGAAATGCCCCTGGTACCGTATGTGTCACCGGTACTTATACCGGCTCCCCGTACAGTACGGGGACCAGTCTGGTACCAGTTTTCAGCTGTTGTACTCGTACTCAGTGTGACTTGCTGTTTCGGCTTTCGGAATCCAAGACTTCGACTTTGTGCCCTTGTCATTGTGTCTGCGTCCGACCCTCAGTCGTGTGGAGTGAGTGCGTGTGTGTGTGTGCTCTCACTCTCTCCCTCTCTCTCTCCTCTCCCTCAGCCTCGCACTCGTCACACTGGTATCGGAGTGGTTCGAACCCGCCCGACCCACCCTGCTTCGTCATCACCACCTGGCCATCATCATCGTCATCATTGTGATCGTCGTCGTAGTGCCACGTCATCGTTGTGATCATCGCCGGCGTGCCACATCATCATCGTCATTGTCGCGATCGTCGTCGTCGTGCCATGTCATCATCGTCACCGTCGAGATTGTCGTGCCACGTCGCCATCGCCGTGCCCGTCGTCCTCGTCGTCGCGCCGTGCCATCCTCGTCATCGTCGTTGCTACCTCCATGCAAATAAGTAATCGACTACATTTTTTTTTATTTTTTTTTTTTTATCTTCGTTCTCTTCTTCTTATCTTCTTCTTCTTCTTCTTCTTCTTCTTCTTCTTCTTCTTCTTCTTCTTCTTCTTATTCTTCTTCTTCTTTGTCGCGACTCCGATCTCGCTCCCGCGCAACCTCCCCTCCCCGACTCTCGATCTTCCCCCCCACGCGTCGTTCTTCCCCCGCCGCGCGATCTTCTCCCTATTCCTTTTCCTTTTCTTCTCCTCTTCT